TACGACTGTACGAGTGAAAGGACTCACGGATTGGCACATATATCTATTTTAGCATTTAATATACAAGGTTAGGAAGTGAACAATTTTACTATATGATCGCCATGTTATGTATTGAATATAATTATTAAAATAACATGACACTAATGTATTACAAGTCTAACGTTAGTGGCATCTAGTCAATGACATAATTTGTAATTAAATGGCTGAGTAATTTTCTTTAGATTATTATGTTGCATACATAAATTTTACTTAATTATTATTTTCTCAGTAAAATTTTTTTCATATTAGTCAATAATAAACAATTAGTAAAGTACAAGTATATTAGAAGTTTACCATAAAAGAAGGGAAAAACAACTAATGTGTGATGGGATCACCATATTGTTCTTGCATCCACATCATTTTCATTGCCACAAGGTTAAATATCTTACATATTTAGTTATCCATAAAAGGCTTCTTAAGTGATGAGTCAGGAGGCAGAGGAGTTTGTAATAGGTTGACCAAACACGTCAATTATGCATGTTAATAATGTATAGACCTTTTCAAATATATAGTTACCCAGGTAGAGGCAATGAAAGTCTCCTCTTTTGAACTCGTTGGTTTTATGTTGGAAAATAATTTGGCTAGAAAGAGGAGTATTAGTTGATTGTGTTAGCATGTAAATGAAAAATGTTTAAACATTATACCCATTGTCACTCACCTCGTGTCTAAATCATTTCCAAAGACAAAGGCAAACACTTTCATCTCAAACTTTGTCAAACCTATATCTCCTATTACTGTGAATTTAGACTTTACAAACTAAGATGTCAGAAGAGATGACATATTAAACATTGAAGCATTTAATAACATAAAAGATGATTTTATACAATAGTAACTGTTAAAAGACTTTGTGGATGATGTGGCTTGTATTATTACCCTAGGTAGAATGAATCTATTGGATCTGCACATTTACTTGTTTACTAGTAGTAGTTGCTGAAAATGTAATGAATTGATGAGATGCAGCCTAACTACATCGTCCGAAAGGAATATTTGGACAACTTCTTGTATCTAGTACAGATCATTGCGGTGGTTGCAAATATCATGACAACAACCTCTTCCCATAGACATTTATCTTGCACATGGGAAAATAAAATTTATTTACATAGTACAAATAATATTGTCTTACCATTATGCACAAAAATGTAATTACATGTTACAAGAGAAACAACATGGTAATACTTACAAACCTTGGTTAACGATGGCATTGATGTTTTAGCCAAGTTTGGCATATAATCGTTAATGCTAGATGTGGGCTGGTGTGGTTTGTTTGGTTGTAGCGTTTTCCTCCCTCTAATATTTGGCACACCTACAACATTTAAGTAGTCAATGTCCTCATCTTTTTCGGATAGCATCATAATTGTGTCAGTGTCATCTTCTTGACTTACAAATGATGTACTTTGTCGAATCTTTTGATGCACTCCTAACTGACGTTTGACAGGGAAGCTCGTCAGAAAATAATACTCTTTTCTCTTTATATGTTGTTGAAATTGGTGTTGCCACATGTCTCAATGTTTGGGAATTATGGACAAACTTGTTATCAACATTGTCAATGTCTACACCATTAGCCTTGCAGAGAATGAAGGGTTAGTGAAAGATTAATATTTTTTGTATTGTATACAAAAACTCGTTGGTGGAAATGGTTGATAAGTTATGTCATGCCAAAAATTGGGTCAATGTACTTACAATGTTCATCATGTTCCTTCTCTATTTGTCCAATTGGTTGAGATGTGGAAAACAATCAAAATGATAGACTTTTTTTATCCTTCATACTTATGACCATCAAGTACTAGTGAGTTTTTGACTCATGAAACGAGACGTATATTGATAAGTCTATAATTAGGCCTTATTTTACAGCTCATATATTCATATTTGATATTTATTTTATTTGGATTTTACACTAATTTATATATTAATTGTGTAGTTTGGTACAAAGAGGCCGCAAGTGAATGTTGGGTGCATTTTGGGCCAAAATTGATAGAAGATTAGAGCTTCGCAGCAACCAGCACGCCCAGACCCTTCCAATAAGCACGAGGGTGCTTTAAGCCCATACACAGTCATGCTTAAGGCCTTGCACAGCTTTGCTCATCTGCAGGAAGCCCAATTATGAAGAGTTTTTAAGGCTTTCAAACCCTATTAAAAGGAAGACCTGAGGCACAATTAGGAAGACCATTTTGACATCTTGGCTTTTGCTTTAGGATACATCTCTCATCTCGTCTCTCTTGCACGGGATCCTTGGCACATGCTTGGCGGGACTTGGAGCTTCGAGCGATCGTACTTGAAGACCGGGAACACATCTCACACTCTAGTTTGCTATTTCTTTTGATTATGACTTTGTTTATGATTGTTTTAGTTCTTTTCTTTAGCATGAGTAACTAAGTCGATAGTTAGGGCTATGAGAACTATTGTTCATGAATTTATGGAATTTTGATATTTAAATTTAAATTTGATTTCCGTTTTATGATTAGATTTTATCCTATTGCGCTTCTTTCTTAATCCTAATTAATTATATTGTCAAGCGACCATACCTCGGTTAATTAATAGATCTATAGGGTAAAACAAGACAAAGGATTATGTGGACCAAACTAATCTTTCTCTTATAATCGTTATTAAATTAACAAGTTCATAGGTTTCTTAAGCTTTCTCAAATTGATATCTTGCATGACCATTAGGGATATTAATTTAGAGAAAAGAATATTAATATTACATGACCATTGGGTATTAATAGTATTCATATGAATGATTGGTAATCACAAGGAAATCAGATTTAGAGTTAAATAGAAAAATAACATAAAGGATTGAATGAGAAAACCCATATGCCCTAGGTTCCTCTCCGATAAGTTTAACCAAGACGTGCATTGTATTCTTTACTCTTAGATTTATAATTGATTTTATAAATTCTTGTTTTTAATTAATCTCGTATCTTTGAATTTTAAACAATTGAATTAGGAAATTTTTAGTAATTGAAAAACAATCCTTGTGGAACGATATTTCAAAAATTTAATTTAAGAACCCTTTATTACTTCTCGATGGGTACATTTGCCCTCCAAACAAGTTTTTGGCGCCGTTGCCGGGGATTGCTTTTTCAATATTAAGAAAATCTCAAATTTAATTAATTTAAGCAGTTTGTGTTTTATTTTATTTTGTTTTGTTTATTGTTAAATTTTTCTTTTATATTTTATAATTTTCTTTTTTATTTTATTTTAATTTTTTTACTTCACAATTTCTTTTAATGTATGCTCACTCGTTCTAAGTGCTCTACATCTTGTTTATTTGATCCGAAGATTGAAAGAACAGTTCGTAGACAAAGAAAAGAAGTGAGAGAGTAAAGAATGGCAGAGGGAAGGAGATCGATCCAAGATTACATGACACCCACTGCTAGAGGCACTCATGGAAGCATTGTGGCACCAAATGTGGAGGCCAACAATTTTGAATTGAAACCAACACTTATAACCATGGTCCAGAACTCGATACAGTTTGGAGGCATGCCTAATGAAGACCCCAATCTTCATCTGACAAAGTTCCTCTGATTGACGGATACCATCAAGTTCAATGGAGTCTCCAATGATGCTATTCGACTCCGTCTTTTCCCATTCTCAGTATCTAAAAAGGTGAATGCTTGGTTCGCCTTACTCCTAGCCAATTCCATTAGAATTTGGGAGGATCTCACTCAACAATTCTTGGGAAAGTATTTTCCCCCATCAAGGTCCTCTAAGCTTATGACGGAGATATGTTGCTTCCAACAACATGAAGTAGAATCCTTATTCGAGGCATGGGAGCGATTTGGAGAGCTTTTGAGGATATGTCCTCATCATGATTTTCCAACGTGGAGACAGGTACAAATTTTTTACAGTAGCTTATCAATCACTACCATGACTACAATTGATGCCGCAGCAGGAAGGTCCCTTATAAGAAAAGATCCAAATGATGCATAGAAGCTGATAGATGAGATGACATCTTCTAGCTTTCAGTGGCACAATGCTGACTATTACGATATCAAGAGGAAAGAGACTGCTTCGGTCTACCAAGTAAATAGCAGCAGCCCACTAATCAACCAAATGACAGCCCTTGCAAAACAACTAGAATCTTTAATGAAGGCTCAAGACCAACCTGTAAGAGCTTCTGCAAGCCCAAAATTTAAGTAAGAAGAGGCAAACTTCATGGGCAATCATAGTTTGGGGTGGAGGAGTAATCCTCCTAACTCTTGGGGGAATGGCTTTGGAAGTCAAAATTCAAGTGTTAATCGCCCTCCTCATGTGCAAAGTCAGGGAGCAAGACCTGAAGGAAAAGAAGCTCCTAGATCTTAGTCTAACTTTTAAGAACAGATGATGTAATCTATGCATTACTCTGATAAGAGGATGACAGAGCTTGAATCCAAGTTGGACCAACATATTGAGAGAACTGATAAGAGGTTCACAGAGGTCAAATCTGAAATACAAGCTAGCTCCTCTAAGATGAGTGCACAATTGGAGCAAATTATGAATCTTCTGAGTCAAAGAGTGATGGGAACACTACCATCTCAACCTGAGCCTAATCCAAGGGAGCAATGCAATGCCATTACTCTAAGAAGTGGGAAAAATTTGAATGGGACGCAAACACATAAGTCATGCACGCCTGTGCTGAAGGAGGAGCACACCCTTGCATCACCTTGCACGCCCATGCTGCCTGAAACAAAACAGTCGTGCTTAGAACAACACGTCCTTGTAGACAACGAAGGCATGACTATGCTAGACTGAAGCAAGGTCGTGCTCAACGAAGGCGCGCCTGTGCTGGATGATGAGCAAGGCCGTGCTTACCACCTAGATGCGAAAAAGGAGACAAGGGAAGATGCACCAGTGGTGACAAAATCGAAAGTTCCATTTCCACAATGATTGATGAGTAGCTAGAGAAACCCTCAGTTCAATAAGTTCCTTGGGATCCTCAGAAAGCTCCACATCAATATTCCTTTTGTTGAAGCCATATCACAGATGCCGAAATATGCTAAATTTCTCAAGGAGATGCTAGGCAACAAAAAGAAATTGGAAGAATTTAAGACAATCAGATTGAATGAGAAGTGCTCAACAATTTTATTAAGGAAGCTGCCGCCTAAGCTTAAGGATCTAGGGAGTTTTACAATTCCATGCACTATAGGCAATTCTTATTTTGATAAAGCGCTCTGTGATTTAGGTGCTAGCATCAATCTAATGCCATTTTCTGTGTTTAAAAGGTTGGGTATGCAAGAACCCAAGCCAACTTCAATCTCTTTACAGCTTGCTGATCGTTCAATAACGTATCCTAGGGGCATAGTGGAGGATGTCCTAGTCAAGGTAGATAAGTTCATGTTTCCTGCAGATTTCATTGTCCTTGACATGGAAGAGGATGACGAAGTACCCATCATACTAGGGAGGCCTTTCCTAGCCACAGGAAGAACGATAATAGATGTTCAGCAAGGGAAACTCACACTAAGGCTAGATGATGAGGAAGTTGTATTTCAAGTTTTCAATTCTTTCAAGTACCCTTCTAGCCAAGAGTTTTGTCACTTTGTGAGCACTATGAATGTTACTTCTCCTCCTCCAATTTATGTGAAGCATGAAACCACAAGAAAAAGGCCAAGGAGGAAGCAATATAAGAAGAAGAAAAGACAAAAGCTTAAATCATCCATTAATAAGCCTCCTAATTCGAAGCTTAAATTTTCTTCACTTTATTCTAATCCTATCTTATGAATAATTTTTCTGATGTAATAGGTGTTGGGGAGGCAAAGCTGCTCGGGAGACAATTGCATATCGAAGGAGTCACTTTTGAGACTCATACCTTCTTCCCACCATGATTTAATAGGAACGTCAGGCTCGTGACGTTAAACAAGCGCTCCAGGAGGCAACCTGTGTCTTTTATTTTATTTCTTTTTGTTTATTTTAATTTTTGCTATTTATATTTTATTTTTAGAATAAAGAATAAGCATATTGAAAAATTGCAAGAACGGAGTTGATTGTTTCCACACTTTTGAGCTTTGATTTGGAAGCACGCCCGTGCTCTATCACATACACAATCGTGCATTGAGTCGCAGTTGTGAGAGAAAGCTTTACATTATAAGCATGGGCGTGCTCAAGATTTCAGCATGGTCGTGCTCCCTCACTTGAAGTCGTCGCGCCAAGAATTATTAGGGAACCTCTTTCCTTTTTATTCAATTGCCTTCTTTGCATGCTTTTAAGTTAATTGCTTTCAAACATTGATGACAATGTTTCGCTTTAAGTATGGGGGAGTAGTTCCTAATTATATGATTGTTATTTGCATATTACTAAGTAAAATGCCTATACTATTTTTTATGATAATTGAAAACTTTTTCCCTCATGGAACCCAATTTTTTCCAGATAGAAGTGCATGTTGAGTAATTATTATTGGCATTATACTTTTATTTGGAAACTAATAATTAGCTGGGTTCCTTACTTTTATGCTCTACATTAAACTTTAACCCACAGATGTGAGTTTTGAGCCTTAAAAGGGATTTCTAGCTTAATTTAATTAATTGTACCCCTTTTCTCGTTGTTTTGTGTGATTATCTCCTTAGGTTTTGTGATCTAGAACTTGACTTGGAACCGACTTAAGACTTCTCTTTTTAATTACATGTTTTTAATATGATTGAGGCATAATAGGATTTTTATTCTTGGCTTTCAGCATGTTTAAGATATAACTAGTTGTCCAGTTTGAGCTTTATTGATTTTCTTGGTCCCTTGCATTAAATTTATAAAATATTTGATGACCTTGAGTTTATGAATGAAGCAATTGAGTTGTTGAATTGTTTGATTAATTCTCCTCTATATCTCTCATATGCAAAAAGAAAGAAAGAAAGTATGAAAAAGAAAATAAAAAAATAAAAAAAAAAAAGAAAAGGAAAAGGGTTATATATGATTGAAAGGAGAGAGGAGTAAAGATACTGCTCATATACAAAAATATAAAAAATACTCCAAGAGCTTCATTTGTAAACTTAGGGGATGTTTATAATTTTTATTTATTATTACCCCTTTGTATATCCCCTTTCTTTGATTTATCTCACCTCAAATTATTATAACCACTTGGCCACATTAGAACCTGAAAAAGACCTCATGATTTTTACGTACATTTAATTTATTTAGTGGAAAGTCGGTTTATAGTCAAGCCTATGGTAGTACACTTTTCTTTAGGAAAACTGAGTGATATTTCATTTTGTCCCTTAATAAGAGACGAAAGTAGAGTACTTTAGTTTAACCTTTGAGTGAAAAGTATGGAATTATAAGATTCTAATTGAGAATCCTTTTGATTGCTTATTCTCACTGATATTACTCTTGTTGCTCTCTTTATCTCCATTGTTTCGGGTTTCGTGTGTGGTATTATCTTTTAAGTTATTATGTTATTCACTTAACCAGCACTTTGCTTGAGAACAAGCAAACAGATAAGTATGGGGGAGTTGATAAGTCTATAATTAGGCCTTATTTTACAACCTATATATTCATATTTGACCTTTATTTTATTTGGGTTTTACACTAATTTATATATTAATTGTGTAATTTGGTATAAAGAGGCCGCAAGTGAATTTTGGGTGCATTTTGGACCGAAATTGATAGAAGATTAGAGCTTCGCAGCAACTAGCACGCCCAGACCTTTCCAACAAGCACGAGGGTGCTTTAAGCCTATGCACGGCCGTGCAAAGCAGGAAGCCCAATTATGAAGAGTTTTTAGGGCTTTCAAACCCTATTAAAAGGAAGACCTGAGGCACCATTAGGAAGACCGTTTTGACATCTTGGCTTTTGCTTTGGGATACATCTCTCATCTCGTCTCGCTTGCACGGGATCCTTGGCACATGCTTGGCGGGACTTGGAGCTTTAAGCGATCGTACTTAAAGACCGAGAATACATCTCACACTCTAGTTTGTTATTTCTTTTGATTATGGCTTTGTTTATGATTGTTTTAGTTCTTTTCTTTAGCATGAGTAACTAAGTCCATAGTTAGGGCTATGAGAACTATTGTTTATGAATTTATGGAATTTTGATATTTGAATTTAAATTTGATTTCTGTTTTATGATTAGATTTTATCCTATTGTGCTTCTTTCTTAATCCTAATTAATTATATTGTTAGGCGACTATACCTTGGTTAATTAATAGATCTATAGGGTAAAACGAGACAAAGGATTAGGTGGACCAAACCAATCTTTCTCTTATAATCGTTATTAAATTAACAAGTTCATAGGTTCCTTAAGCTTTCTCAAATTGATATCTTGCATGACTATTGGAGATATTAATTTAGAGAAAAGAATATTAATATTGCATGACCATTGGGTATTAATAGTATTTGTATGAATAATTGGTAATCACAAGGAAATCGGATTTATAGTTAAATAGAAAAATAACATAAAGGATTGAATGAGAAAACCCGTATGCCCTAGGTTCCTCTCCGATAAGTTTAACCAAGACGTGCACTGTATTCTTTACTCTTAGTTTTATAATTGATTTTATAAATTCTTATTTTTAATTAATCTCGTATCTTTGAAGCTTAAATAATTTAATTAGAAAATTCTTAGTAATTGAAAAATAATCTTTGTGGGACGATATTTCGGGAACTTAATTTAAGAACCCTTTATTACTTTTCGATGGGTACACTTGCCCTCCAAACAAGTTTTTGACTAATTGTACTTACAATGTACTTATAATGTTCATCTTGTTCCTTCTCTATTTGTCCAATTGGTTGACATGTGGAAAACAATCAAAATGAGAGACTCTTTTTATCCTTCATACTTATGACCATCAAGTAATAGTGAGTTTTTTACTCATGAAACGAGACGTATATCTATTCAAATATAATGTAATTAGGTCAATATTTTAATCATAGATTTTATTTGTTAATAGCAATAAAAAATTTAGGATCATAATTTTCACTAGTATATGATAAGTCTGTACTTGAAGACATCTAGTCAATGACATAATGTGTCAATGAATCCCTAAGTCGATCTGCTTCCATAATATGATGCTGCAATGTAAATTAATTTTATTATAGCGTGTCTCATACATAACAAACAACATTAATTCTTTACGTAGTGGATCATGTGACCATGTTAGTAAAATAAATGATAAGATAAGATGATACCACAAATGAAGGCAAAGAGAACCACAATGTGATAGGTTCACCAAGGTCTTCTTGCATCTAAATCATTTCCATTGCAACAAGTTCAATTATCTACATACCACTGACATATATTACCAAATGTTAACACATATATAACTGTTGAATAATCTAATATTCACTGAGCCAATGATATACACATATCAAGGAGTCGCCATTCTTACCTTTTCACTGATATTGTTGGAGGGACACAAGCAATCAAATTCTCAACTTGTTCGTATTATGTACAAAAATCATTTCACCAAAAAACCAATGCAAGCAAATTTATAATTAGGAATGACATTAATATGATAATGTACATATAGGATTCAATACAATAATGTCATAGGATAAAACATGATAATACTCACCTAGTGTCTACATTGTTGCGGGACACATAAGCTGAAAGTTGCATCTCAAACTTACTGAGACCCATATCACCAGTGGGCCTAAATTTTGACTTGAAAACTGTTGAATTTTACAAGCATTGAAAAGTACATATATTCACACTTAAATTTATAGATTTAGTTCATTGTCCTTTTATCTACTTAAGATTAGGAATATTGTTACATGTCATTTTACTGAAGGCAAAATGAATCCATTAGGTCTACAAATGACATTAAGTTTTTGGTGTTTGGAACTTTAGAATGGGTACTACTTTGATGACTTCTAGCTTGACTGTGTCATTAATAAGAAATATAAGTTGAATTTGGAGTACCTTTTTTTGGGACCCTCATGGGTGGGGAATTGCTTCTTAGCATTCTCTTTGCATGGCAGTCGGTATGTCTTAACAAGGTACCGTTGAGTAACATTATGCATGTAAAGAAATTGGACATATAGCTTTTCAATGACAATAGTCCTAATGTAATTATACAACGTAGTAACAAACCTTGGCAAATTGCTCACATGTTTGTTGTACGTTGGTTTTGAAGTTTTTTGGTGATGAAGTCAATTTCATCTTTGTCTGCTAAGTCGTGTTTGTCTGTGGTGTTATTTGTGGCCCACTGAATACTATATTATCTTTGTTAATGTTTTCTTCCTCAAACAACATCACCATAATGTTTGTATCATCGTCCTCACATTGGAAGGATTATATATTGTTACTCTTTGATGCGCTGACAAAAGAGGTTCAACATGTGTTGCGGGGGATGATATTGGGAAGTTCCTTTTAACTATGGGAGTTGGGACTTTTGGCTTCTTTGTTGAAGTTTCGGGATTCAATTCTATTTTACCAATAAGATATTCATTCTCTAAATGATTAGCCTTACAAATAATTATCTGCATCATTGTGACTCCAACTTCGATTGCTTCTATTTTTTTTTTGTATTGCCAAAATTTTCTTCTCCAAAGACTGCAATTTGTGAAGTTATTATGTTAAATTAGGCTCTACAAATAATAAATATATAATCTAAAAAATTACATCACACGTCCAACATGAAAAACATGGGTATACGATATTAATGAGATTTTTAAACAAATGAAACCTACGCATATCATTTGAAGGGCATCTTTCCATACATGTGAATCAATGTTCGATATGGGTTATGATCCTTCTTCTTGAGTGCATTACATTTGTTCAGGCGATATCAAATGAAACAGGACGTACAACAATTAATATAATCTAAGAATAGAATGTAGAGATAGAAGTACTCAACTTTCTAACCTTGGAATT